GACTGTGTTTCGATTGCTACTTGCTAATGAAGAAGCATTATTTTTAAAAATAAAAATAAATCTTAAGTTATCGACAATATTAAGAAAATAATGTATAAAGAATAAATGTTTCTAAAAAAGGGTATTGTTTGCACTGATAAGGGAGGAAAGCATCATCGATATTTGTCAACGACATTACCTTTGCATTGTTTGCACTGATTCAACATTTTTCATTTTTTTTTTTTTTACCGAGCTTCCTTCCTTCCTTTTTTTTTTTTTTAATTATTTTTTTTCTTTTTTTTTTTTTACATTTATCACTTCGAATCGGAAAGCATATTTATATATGTTTAATTTAGTCATTAAATTAGTATGCGTTTTTAATCGATAAATCTTATTTCGACATAGATTAACATGTAGATAAATTTTTTTAACATGTCCATAATTTTTATGAGCATAAACAATAAAAAAAAAAAAATTATCTGTATAGATATATCATGGTTGTAATAGTCGGCTATTAAGTCATTTTTTTAAAAAAAAAAGTCGTTAGGTCGATTTTTCGACTATTTTTTTTTTTTACAATTAAAAATTATGTTTTCGTCATGTAAATATGGTTGTAATCCCAATTTTTTACTTTAGTGATTTCAAATTGGATGAAAAGATCGATTGGTATGGAAATGGACGAGTGATATACGTGGCGGTATTCCAATTTCCATAACATTGAGCACATCATATGCGAAAATGTACCATGATTTACAAAACAAGCTGAAAGTCTATCTCTCTCAGTACGATATAGAACTAGAATTTCAATTTAACGAGCATTCATTCATTTCGATTCCGCCTATAAATATTGTTTCTGATACTGAAATGAATTGTCTATTTGAATTGAACAAAATACACATGATTCATCGTTGTGTGACATTATCGGGGAAGAATGTCACCAAAGGTGAACAAGAAATTCGGATGTAGGGGATCAAAATACCAATGATTTTTGTGACACAGTGGAGATAGCTCATGAGAATGATGTGGTTATTCCCAAGACATTTATTTCTCATCGTGATCTTGCTGTTACACACAAAATTTCGTCAGCAGTTTACAACAATGAGAATGATAATGAATTTACAAATGAGGATATGATTGCTTAATCTTGTCAGAGACATGAGTGGGGCTGGATCGAGTAGACCGTCGTTTAATTCTTTGCGTGTGGTTCCCGATGATAAGGATGTGTACGTCGAAAAAACGTTTGAAACAAAGAAAGATTGATAGGAATTTGTGCACCGAATTGCACTATAATACAACTTTGAGTTCAAAATAAAGAAATAAAATAAATCATTGTTGACAATTGTCTGCGTCGACGACAGTTTCCATTTGCGTTTACAAGTGACAAAGATGGACACGAATGAGTTATTTGTAGTTTGCAAATATATACAGGAACATACTTGCGAAGTGAAAATTCGTCGAAATGATCATAGATAAGTTCGAGCATGGTTTATTGGTAAAAGGATAATGCACAAGTAATGGGACTTACGAACGATCTATAGACCTTCGAACATCATTAACGATGTCAGTCGGGAGTAAGAAGTGGTCATGAGCTATCGAAGAATTGGAAGGCCAAAGAGTGCACATTGGAGGATTTAATGGGGCTCAGTTGAGGAGAACTATGCTAAATTGGTCAGGTATTACCATAATATAGGTACAGCTAATCCTGGTTCGACATTTTTTATTGAGACGGAATGCGAGAATTGCTTTAAGTTTTTCTTCATGACTCTTGAACGATGCATTCGGGAATTTCGAAATAAGATATGACCCCTAATTTTAATTGATGATACAACTCTAAAAACTAGATGTGAAGGAAAGTTAATTATTGCAACGTGTCAAGATGCTAATATCCAAATTTACCCTCTTACATTCGGCATAGTCGATAGCGAGAACGATCTGTCGATGCGTTGGTTTTTCACAAAGTTTAGGGAAGTAATCGGGAAAGTCGAGGACATTTGCCTTTGTAACTAATCGGGGAACATCTATAATAAATTGTATCGCTGAAATTTTTTCGAGGCACATTATGGGTATTACATGTACCATATAGAAGGCAACCTAAAAACTAAGTATTGGGGCAAAGGTATAATTTTATTGTTCAGGAAAGCAGTCGAAATTTATAGTGTTAAAAGAGTGTAATAAATTCATGATGGAAATAGGAAGTAAATCATTTCATGTATGGGAGTATCTAACAAAAATGGGAATTAAACATTGGGTGTGATCACATATTTTCAGGAGTCGATACAACATGAGACGTCAAACAATACAGAGTCTCTCAATGCATTATTCAAGAAGGATCGAGAGTTATCAATACTCACAATGATTGAGTACATTCGTAACAAGCCGCAACAGTAATTTTACGATCGACATGCGGAATCACAGAGTTGCACAAGCATCCTATGCCCGACTCAGGAGGATAAACTCTTCAAGTCTATAGAAGTTGGGAGAAAGTTAAATGTGGAACCACTGGATGAGTTGTGCTTCTCCATGAAATGTACACGTAATATGGCATACATGGTGGACTTAACTGATAACACCTGCACTTGTAGTTGATTTCAGTTAAAGAGTTTTTCATGTGAGCATGCAGTCGCGGTGGCTATGTATAGAGGCTTTGCAATGAGAACCTCATGCTCTCCTAAAAGCAGAATACGATGAGACTATATTTCCTCTACCGAATGAAACCGAGTGGAAAGTTCCCGATCATATTCTTTCACTTAATAGTTTGTTGCCACCCGAAATTGAACCGCGAGGTACTAGACGTCTATGTACTTCTAGAATGCAATTTTCTGAAGAGTTTTCTTTATCGTGTATGTGCGGTAGGTACAGTGCAACATGGCATACTTACAATTTTGTACAAGTCAGATTTCCCTAAATGACAATTAGACGGATATGTAATGATATCGCTGATAATTGAACAATATTTACATTTTTTTTACAATATTTACAATTATTTTACAAATAAATAAACAATTAAATATACATTTTTTTACAATATTTACAATTATTTCACAAATAAATAATTAATTAAACATACAATATTTACGGATTACAATTGAATTTATACAAATCGCATGCTAACTTATTTATCCAATTTTATATCCAAGATTGGTTAATTTCATCAACTTTATGTGCTATACTCAAAAATACAATACACTTTGTTGTGAACATGCCACAATCACCCCTTCAAATAAATAATAATGTGTTAGTTCGATACTGTGTAGCAAAAAACTAAGTTTTCAAATTAAACAATTATAAGTACTTATGATTGATTGTCTCGTCGTCATCGTATCTCACACGATGACTAGTCTGTCCTACACAATCAAAGGAACGATCACAGTCACCAACTCCAGGTAAAGCTTGAGCTAACCCTGTATCAGAAAGGAATGATTAGAGTCGTTCACATATATAGTGGAATCAGCAAAGATAATCTCCATGGCAAAGCAGTGATGTTGCGATCACTGGAACGTACATATGAGTATAACCCTCCCATGACTTTTTCCCGACACTCGGCTACATCCTTATGACCTACTCGAGCATATATTCGGGCACCGTGTACTCATTACCCATAAGTTGAAGAAATTGATACTCAATAGTAACAATACGTAGGAACTCGTCGTATATCTTTGAACTCGATCGTGCAACAAGTTCATAGTCGGTCGATGTGCTACATCAAGAAGCACCATAAAAATAGCGGGAGTTATTTCATTTAATAAATAATGCATAATAAATAATAATTGCGATATTACACTTACATCGTCGGCTAGCCAAGCTTCCAAAGTCGTGATGTCATGAAATCACTTATAGACATCCATGTTCATCCTTTGAGCTATCACGTGGCTAGCTTTGAAAAAGAAACAAAAAACTGCGAAAAGAAGCATATATGAGTAGCGTACTTCACTATGATCATAAAATACTTACATGTGCATAATTATTCGTTACTCTGTCTCGAATGGTTTCTTTGTCACTAAAAATCATAAAATACTTACTCTCAGTCGTGAAGGGAGAAATGACGTACTGTGACGATAATATCGGCCTCTTGCCGACCACTTGCTCAGCTCGTTAATAGTACACTTCCTACCTTCTATCACGACTAGCGTCCTCTCCTCATTTACCTACCCCCTCTACCCTCGGACTCGTCATCGCCTCCATCATCGAGGCCACCACCCTCATCCCGGGCACGTCATCTACCTCGGGGACTGCCACCTCGGGTATCGCCACCCCCTCCGTCATTCAGGCCACCCTCATCGCAGCGCCGATATCTCCTCTTGTAGTGCGCTCACCTTCTCTCCCATCTCTCGTCGTAACACCCTTACCTTTTCTCGTAGCGCGCCCACCTCCTCTC